CGTTTCCCAATTCCTTTTTTCCTGCTGAGACGGTTCCGTTTCTGGAGCACGTGTTTCTCTCGGTTTGGAGTGACGGTTTCTAATTTCCCCACCTGGTACTCGTGCATGTCTTGTTGAGTTTTCTGGACGCTTAATTATGTGTTCTGGTAGTTAGTCGAGTGGAGGATGTGGATTCAGTTGCAACATGTCTGGGGAAATAATAATCCTGCGAATTATGGAAGAGCTACGTTGTAGAATTAGTTTCTGCCTCCAAAATATATATGGTTTTTAAGGATACCGGGACTTGCTTGAAAGAGTAAAATGCCAAAATTAAGACTCTTTGTTTATGGGACATATATGTTTAAAAATTCCAATAGAGCTTAGATTTTTAAGTGATCTTAATAAAAATATTTCAATCATTCTTTAGAAATACAAAAATGATTTCTTTAGTTAAAAAATTTTTTTTTCTGATTTAAATTAATCAGAAGGAAAAAAAATTCCATTCCAAAATTATTTTACATAATTTTTGAGATCTCATAACACATGCTTATGTTTAGGTACCATTTTTTTAAAAAAAGTATCTCGTAAATATGTAAAATAGCTTTTGCACATGTATGAAACAATATACAAAATATAGTGAGCCTATTTTTTTAGACAATATTTTTTTCAGATAATTTCTTTAAAAAAAAATTATAAAATTTTGTAATTTTGAAAATTTTTATTTTTGTTCCCTTTTTTATACATAAAACTATTTTTTTAAACTATGTACTACTTCGACTAAAATAAAATATGTTTACTGTATAGAATAGATATGTATCCTGTATAGAATAGATATAAAAATTTGAAACCCTATAGCGCAATAGGTTTTTTTTTTTAAAGTGTACCTAAAAGCAAAAAATTATGCTTTGGAGAAAAAGTGAAAAAAACTAAGCACGTTTATAAATGTTTGTTACATTTTTGTCAATTACTTTCTTTATATTTTAAGGTTATTTTTTCAACGAGCAAAAACTGCTGTATATTTTTAGATTTAGAAAAATATGTACTATTTTTGCATACTAAAATTGAAAAATTGATTTTTTGAATGTGTATGATGTGCTGGTTCTCTTACTATCAGTATTATGGACGATTCTCCTTATGCAGGTTTGTTAAAAATAAAATAATTGTTAAATATTAACATTTATTTTTTTTTTAAAAAATGACAATTTTTATACACAACACATGTTTTTTCAGTCACATTTTTTGAACGAAATGTAATTTATCGATAGAACATGGGTTTTCGTACTGACTCCTAGGGGGAAAACTTGAAGCATTTAAAAGTGGAATTTTTACATAAAATAGGTTTAAGTCACGTGGCTGTTTTTCATCTTAACCGTTGTGCTAATAATAATGCAATAATTTAAATTGTAGAATGATTCATTTAGAGAAATTGTCACGGTTATGTTAACAATGAAATAGTATTTGAATAACTTCCGTAAAAATAGATTCTTAAATATAACTAGTAGTTTTATTATAAAATCACTCTTTTCAGCAAAATGGTTGCTGCAAAGTGAAATAAAACATAATCTACATCATATTTCATTCCATATATCTGACAGATATTTTCTAGAGGCTTAAATTTTAGAAATAAAAAGTATGCTTCTTAAATATCTTCATATTTCATTAAAATATTTAATATAATAGGGATTAATTATATTTTTTATTAATCAATATTCTTATAAATTTTCATTCGAGCAATTTTTTATTCCAGTCCTTTAAATGTGACTATGTGTGTGTTTGCTTCAGTAATTTTCAATATAATTACAAACTCTATCAACTGAATCTATTTTGTCCATAAAATATATTGTATAATGCAATCTTTATTTGTTCGACTTTTAATTGAGATATATGAATAAGGGTTGGGTTTAGAGGTTCAAACCCCTCCTATAAATCAACAGATTTTTCGCATTAAATGTTACGTCTCGAAGCTTTGGTGCTTCTCGTGAAAATAGTATTTGTACACGCCCCACTGTTTCAAAAAATTAAATATTCTTTACTATTCCAATAAAAACTTGTTCCATTATCTTAAAAAAGAGCAATACAGACATTTACCGAAAATTTTAGTGGGAAATCCAATTTATTCTTCAGAAAAATTTATGAGAGAGAGATGTGCTATAAATACACTGCTGGCCACCATAAATGCAACACCCTGAAGGAAGCACGCAACCAGCATGAAATTTACAACTTGCATTAGCGGAGGTGAGATATGCAAATGATTAGAATTTCAGCGCAGACACACATCACACATGCCTGTGGCGCCACCTCAAAGCGCTATTTAAGGCTTGGAGATTTCGACGATTTCAAGTTCGGCAATTGTGTTTTTTTCAAAAAAACGATCAGTAATGTCTCGTAGAAAACAGTGATCAGCTTTTGATCAAGTATCCGAGTTCGACAGAGGAAGGATAGTGGCCTACCGAGATTGTGGATTATCTTTCAGGGAAATCGGTAGTCGAGTTGGACGAAACCAAACAACTGTAATGCGGATATGTGACCGTTGGATGCAAGAGGGTACGACGGACCGACGTGGACGATCGCATCCACTTCAGTGGACCACTTCACGTGAGGACAGGCAAATTGTGCGCATGGCAGTGACGGATCGCTCAGTCACATCACGAACCATAGCACAGCACATTGAGTCTGTAACGCACCATTCAGTGTCTGCGCGTACCATTCGACGCCGATTACAGCAGAGTGGTCTGTCCGCAAGACGTCTATTGCTTGGTCTACCCTTGACGCAGAACCACAGATGTCTCCACCGCCAATGGTGGGATGAAAGAAGTATGTGGGTGGCAGAATGGAACGAAGTTGTCTTTACTGACGAGTCACGTATCTGTGTGCAACACCACGATGGTGGGATTCGAGTCTGGAAACACCGTGGAGAGAGGATGCTGAACAGGTTATGCACCGCCACACTGCTCCTGCACCGGGTATTATGGTATGGGGCGGTATTGGATATCAGTCTCGCAATTCTCTAGTACGCATTCCGGTACTTTAAACAGCCAGCGCTACATCTCCGAGGTGTTGGAGCTAGTTGTCCTTCCTTACCTTCAGGACTTGGCCACAGCCATATTTCAACAGAATAATGCGCGACCACACGTGGCACGCATTATCCAAAGGTTCTTCGTCAATCACCAGATTGAATTGCTTCCTTGGCCTGCTCACTCTCCGGATCTTTCGCCGATAGAAAACATATGGTCCGTAGTTGCTCAACGATTGACCGAGATTATACCCCCAGCTGCCACACCAGATCAACTTTGGAAGCTGCTTGGTCTGCTGTACCCCAAGAACACATCCAAAGTTTCTTTGAATCAATGCCGAGGCGTGTGGCAGCAGTGGTCTCCAACAATGGCGGCTACTCTTGCTATTGATTCTGGCAGGAACCACACTTCACAGAAGTCTATAAATTTAATCATTTGATACTTGGTCAACATGCTATCTACAAAATAAATTTTGTTGTGCTATCTCTTGTCTTTCTTGATGTTGCATTTACGGTGGCCAGCAGTGTATCATTGGCTTGAAAACTGATAACTAAATATTAAGTTCGCTATTTAAAACTTTTAAAATTTCTATAGGATTTTTTTTTTTGTTAATTTTAAAGTGTACTCTCAGTTTCTGAAATATTTATAATTATTTTCAAGATAAAATTACAATTTTTGATTGTTGCATTAACACAAGGAGACTTAATAGGAACTATAATTTTACAATTTCAAAATCAGTTGCATCCATAATTTTTACTCGCAAACGTGTCAGCTATTTAAGGATATACCAAATATAATACTTATAATCGAAATATAAAAATAAAAACTGCATGTAGGGTTTACGCGTGTCAATTCATATAAACAATATATCCTCAAAAATAACCAACAAGTGTGCTAAGGAAATTGAAGAGATTCATCTGAAACATTGAAAAATAATTTTTATGTTCTACTGTGAGCCATTCTATCTGCTGTACAATATTTTTGTAACTATTAGAAAAGAATATAAAGATATCTTTATAGGTTGTATGATAAACGTTTAAAAACCACAAAAATTCAGATATGTGCTTTAAAAGTCGCACTCCGGGGAAAGAAAACTATCAATTTATTAGGAAAGAAATATAAATTGAAACCACCTGTGAAACCACATGTCCATTAATCGACTGAAAACATAAAGTCTATATTGACCACATTCTGTGGTTTGGAAGATAGTTTAAAGTGAACAAATAAAAGAAAGGCTTTAGTTACCGATGATTTGAAAGCGGTTTTGCACCACTTCTTTGAAATTTTGAAATAATATCATCCGATGTTTTCAAAAATCCATAAAGTTATGAAATTGGCTTAGTGAGAAAAGAAATTACATTGAGAATTAGTTCTCCAAAAAGAAAAAGTATGATGAAAACGAATTCTTATTTTCCTTTTCATGTATAATATGATATTTTCAAGTATCGACAAATTATAAGTGTTGAAACAACAAGCAATATAAAAAAAAAATATTTAAATCAATTCCTACTTAGGTCAACAAAGAAAATTTTTAAAAAATTACAATTAATATAAATATGGATATATGTACATATGACAGAATCACAATATTAAGTGGCAAAACAGAAAGATATTTTCTTCGCAATTTTCCAATTTCCTTTCTATATAGGGTGTTGGACTATTATTTTTGTCTGTTACTATTTATTCATTAATTAAATTTAATTATTCCAATAAAATAGTCGTGGCTAGCATGTCATTAGTTCGATCCCAGTACCACTGAAGATCCACCGTGTAGAGGAGCGATGCACGTTAAACCTGTCGAGAGCTCAAACGTCCTCCCGTTGGTGTGGTGTGGTGTGGTAGTTAGGAGAGGGGGTGCCAGCTCAGGTGTCATCCGCGTCACTTGACCATGGTTCAAAATTACGCGGATCGTCCCCAAAAGCCCTCGTATAGCTGAATAGTGGGACGTTAATATTCACTCACTCCAATAAAATAGTATAGTAAAAAGAAATCACATTCACAGAAATTAGTCCCTCCCAGGTGGGATTCGAACCCACGACCTTTGGACTAGAAGTCCAACGCGCTATCCATTGCGCTACAGGGACACAATGAGCGATGTTCCTTTTTATATATGGTGCTATACTATTATTTTTGTTTGTTACTATTTTTCATTTTTTTTAATTTAGTTAATGAATCAATATTTATAAAAACTGTATTCACATTAAATGTCATCCACTACAAGTTTAAAAAATGTATTTGAACTTGAGTGGAAAAAACGTACTTTATTACCGATTGAAAAATTGAACAATATATATATATATATATATATATATATATAGGAAGTGTGAACTAATAGTAGGAATTGAAAAACACATGCTAGAATGGTCTTATGGTCGTTCATTATAAATGAACACAACGTAACCAGAAAGTTAAGTTGAAAGATACTTTCATTATCATAAGGGGGATACCCACTTATACTTTGAACTAAATCTTGCTCAGTAGCGGAAATTTTTACATTTTAAGTAATTTATCTTTGATTTTTAAAAAAAAAATTAAAATATTTGTGAATCTTTAACAAAACTGCTAAATTTCTGCAGAATTTTTCGGTGGTATACAAAATACATGAAATATTCCTTATATTTGAAACAAAAGAAGCCAAAATTAAAAAAATCGAAATTTTATTATATAGATATAATTGAGAGAAATAGTTAAAATAATTTTTTTTTCCGTCAATATTTTTTGAGTTTTAAAATTTAGAGGAAAAAAATAACATGAATCGATGACAGGATTCTTTACTTTTGCATGTAGTAGGAACAAAATTACCTAAGGCTGTACGTTAATTGGAAAATGCGTAATCTTTTCGAATGATTCATAATCATAAAAAAACCTGCTTGTTCATTCGTCCTTGATTTGTCACGTTTATATTAATGGCATTGAGATTTTTTTCCCCTTTAAACGTTGATTTTTCATTGAAACAAAACCCAACCCCTTCTCTACCTTTATTTTTAAAGAAAATTTTTAACATATAGAAGTTATAATCAGATAAAAAATTTTATTTGTGAAAATTTCCTACATAGAAGACACATTTCCTCGGGAGACTGTAAGGGATCTCCTCTTCAATACATGAAGTTAATTTTACGGTGAACAAAGTAGAAATATTGCTTTTTTTTGCATCGATATATTAAATGGAATAATTGCATTTTAAGGCTCTAGTACATGTCCAAAATAAATGTAACTTTTCACCAAAATATTTAAAAATAACAACTTGGGATTAAGGTTGAAGAAAATAAACATAAAATAGGAAAACTGATTGAATTAAATGAAATAAATATTAGAGCATAGGTTCTCAACACGGGCGATAACGTCCCCTTGTGGGCGTTTGAGGCTTTCAGGGGGGCAGTAAAAGACCCAGAGATAGTTAGGAGACGTTGAGATGGCACGCGGAGGGGCTTAGGCAGATTAACCAAATATAGTCTAAAAAATGATTATGTACTGACAAAAGTAAACTTTAATATTGTTTGCCTTATGCTCATTGTATGTATTTAAATCATTTCTATATCACATGTACGAAAATTCACATATTTCGGTAGTTCGGGAAGTTGATAAAAATTTAAAGATTACATTACATTCAGACCTACATTAAATTGAATGATATAGTGCGTTTTTTTTTTTTAAATTTCTGTAGTGCACATGTTGTCTTTATCTGTGAGCAGTAGGGAAAATGGTTTGTCCACTGCATTCCTTTACGAATATTATCTAAGAAACATAATTAAATGTGTTAACCAGGAATTAACGTGATTCTTTAAAAGCTGAAATTGTCAATTTAAATTTATTTTGAAAGCAATAGTTTATTATGAATTACTTCGTATAATCAAAAAAAACCTCTGCTTGTCATTATAACAGATAAGCTAAAACTTTTATTCCACTCCTTTAAATGAAGAAGAAATCCAGTAGCGTTTCAATTCCAACAATATCCTATCTATATACTACTATATAATTTTAGACATTTAAATATATTTGTGGCAATAGCTATTTCAAATTCGCAAATAAAAAATGGAGTCTTTAGAAAAAACTAAATTAAAAAATATATTCTATAAGTAATAGGATATTTTTTGAAACTTAACTTTTGTTTTCACCATGTGTTATGTGCACTCTTATTTCTCTAGAGTGGGAGAGGGCGTTATCGAAAAATTCCATAGAAAAGGGGGCGGTATCGAAATATTTACTAGAAAAGGGGGCGCCAGTTCAAAAAAGGTTGGGAACCTATGTATTAGAGGATAAAATAAGTTGTTCTATAATATGCAAGGAAGTGCTTCTCAAACTTTCAATATTTGCGACCCAATATTCAATTATAGTTTTCATCGCCCCCCCCCTTCTCCACACAATAACAATGTATTGAATTCAATAATACTATACTTTAATGCTAAAGATGCAATACCACTTTAACCTCTTAAGTGACATCAACGTATATAGACGTCTCATTCAGTCAAAGCATTAATTACTCCGGACTTATATGTACGTCTTTCCGAAGTGCGATCTTTTCTGTGCATTGCTATCCATAAAATAATTTCGAAGGCTTTGAACTGCAAGAAAAAGACCTTTACATTGTTTTCTAAGGATTTATTTATTTCAGAATGTTTGCTTTATTTATTCTTTCTCTCCCTTCCCCAATACATCACATACGAATGCCTATTTGGAGAACAGTGACATTGGGGAGCGAATCACATAAATTTAAATCGACAGTTAAGGAATTAATTATAAACCGTACAAATTATCAAGATAAGTGTTAATTTTTGTATATAATTTTATCTATGACAAACCCATGAGATCACAGGTAATTATTAAACTTTTTCTTAAGGGGGGATAGTACCTTGCGGAGTCTTGATATTGCACATTTTGACGTACTTTTTCGATTGCTCATAAACCAGTAAATTCTTCTCCTTTTAATATTAGTTTCTTGCAGTTCGTGCAACAAAGTAGAAAGTTTAAAATAAAAGAAAAAATTTTTCTATAGAATTATTGTATTTTTTTTAATAGCATAAAGTGTGAATACAAAAATAATGAAAACTAAATAGCTTTCTTTCTGTTTCCCACAAGATAACTTTTGAAAGACTAAAGGTAGATCCTATATTTTTATATAAAATGAAAGCTTAAGAATTCCTGTATTCTGCATACCTCCGATTTCAAATTTAAATTCTATTTTAATATTTTTTTAAATTAAAAGAAATTGAAAAAATTTAACATCACTATTTTTTTAGTATTTATCACATTACAAAAAAAAATTCTATTGATCCCATGTCAAAAATTGAGGACTGCAGATAGCAGATCTACAAGTACATTATACATATAAAATATTGTAGCTCTGCAACCGATATTTTTTTTTAAAATTCTTGTGGGAAAGTGGTAAATTTAGAAACTGAGAAAATCAAGTTTAAAGAATAAATTAAAATTTTTTTGCATTAAAATAAATTTTTTTACACTTAAATGTATCCATTTCATATATTGAGGCTTCTTTCTCCATAAAGTGCTCCTGCATATTTTTCCCCCTCATTCTCGGTGTCTTAGGAGCCTTTTTTGTGAGAGTTATAGACAATTTCCCCTTCCGTTATTCATGCCTGAAAATCAGAAATAACAGAAAAATATTTATTTTAAAACCCGGAATTTTCATAATATCTAGGCGAGTAGCTAGTCCATCATCAAATATTAATGTTGCTTCATTTTAGACCAATATCAATTGTTGTTTTGTAAGATGCTGATATTTTTGGTCAGTAATTCTAAGCTGTAAAATTGAGTTGTCAACCTCATCACTTGAACGGGATTTAAAAGTACGAGGTGAGTCGCCAACAGACTTCATGTTGCTTCTAAGTGCGAGATATCATGAAACAAATAACATATAAAATATGAAAAAAGAAATGAGCCTTACAGTAGTGGCATACGATGTGTAACATCTGACATGTTATCGTGGTAAATTCGTAATAGCAACTTAAATCCTGAAAAAAATGAATCGAGTATGATTGGAAATAATTTTCTATGGAATAATTATATCTTTAATGAAAATTTTATTTAATTAACACAAGGAGTAATGCAATTTTTTATCAAAAATAATTATTCTTGTTCAATTTGGGGAAGAGCGGTAATGATAACTTACGATAACTAAAATATGACTCGTATACTTGTGATTTCAAAGTATTTAAAAAACGTTGAAAAATAGCGTCAATAACAGTACCACTGTTAGTTATCGAAACATTTCGATTTGTGTTCATTTCGAGCTTGAGTTCATCATTCAAAAAAGCTATGAGTGGCTTGGCTTCTAGCAAACTGAAGTTAACTTTAAAATCACCACTCAAAATCATGGAAAGAGAGTGATAATTTTTTTTAAAAAGAGCAAAACCACCTTCGGTATATGGTATAAGTAAAAAATGTAGGAAATCTTTAATTTTTTGAACCGTTTGATTCAGAGAAATGTATACGACCACCGAAATCACTGTTTGTCCATTTTCAAATAAGCATTTTGCGGCACATATGTTCCCAGTATCTTGACTAACAATACCCAGTCCACTTGTTTGACGATAAGTAATATCCAGATGTCGAGGCACAACATGTGAGTTGTTCTGTTTTTGATAGATCGCAACACCAGCTGCTCTGTGGCCCGGTCGTTTAAATTGTACGCAGCAATCGAAGTTAGGTATCGAAACACGTCCGTCATTGTCTAACCACATCTCTGCCAACATGAGTAACGTACAATTTTGTGAAATAACGTCGAAATCTGTTTGGTGAGCCCTCAGACTTTGACAATTGAGCGTAAGGATCGCAAGTTTATCCTTGGTGAAGTCTAATAAGACTTGCTGGTATGTGCGAAGTGGATTTAGAGTCAAGCGCAAACGAAACCGAGTTTTTGAATTAGAATCTTTTGAAATGCTAAATTTAACAATATAAAAAAGGCTAGCAGCTTGATTGCTACTAGAGTTGGACCCCACGTGGATATATCTTTACAAGATCCAGCTAAAGGACTTAGCTTCTTCTCTGATCCTAAAGCGAGAAAACAAAACAAAAACAAAGATTTCACGGCCTAGACCACAGGGAGGGGGAGGGAGCCCCTCTTGAA